TGAGCGGCTTAGTTTGTGACATGAAAATTAGAGCTGAGCGAGAGAAGCTGATGGAAACTGTCTCTTTGATGTTTGATGGCAAGCTCAACATCCTTGTAAGTTTTTAGCACCCAAAAGCTGTAAGCCTTCCACTATATATGGCAATCGAGACAACTGAAAATTCAACCAAAAAAACAACCGCTGGTGGTAAAGAAAATCATAAAGTATATAGGCTTATAATTTTGATGATGAAGTTTTATCATGTGGAGTAAGGAACATTGAAAGTTGAAACTGAAGTTGTAGAGAAGGAAAAGATAGAGAAATGGTGGATGCGTATTTGCAGAGAGAGGGAGATAGAGAGGAATTTAATAAAAGAGAGTTTAACAATCAGAAGGAGAAAGAGAGGTATTTAATGAAAGTGGAAGATGAAGATTGAAGCGATCGAGAAAGAGAGAGAGAGAGACATTTAATAAAAGAGAAAATGAAGAAATCGAGAGAAAGAAAAAAAGATATTTAATAAGGGAAAAAGGTAGAGAAATCGAGAAAGAGAGAGTGGTATTTAATAAAATAAAATAGGGAGAAACCGAGAAAGAGAAAGGGATCGAGAAAGAGAAAGGGATTTAATGAAAGGAAATAATTATTTTTTTTTTAAAAAATCGGTTTCATAATCCGGTTTATTTTTTTTTTAAAACCGAAACTGAACCGAATATTTGGTTTACCTATTATTCTAAACCGAAACTGAACCGAATTCGTAAAAAAATCTAATTTTTGGTTCGGTTCGGTTTTCGAATTTTTTTTTTTTTCCACCCCTAACGTTCCCTTCCCAAACATGTCCTGTTAGTCACGTGACATTAGAACTATGAAGAACAGCAATGGACTCAGCCCATTACGCTGTGAATCATAACTTGTGCGCTATGGACCACAAACCCAACGGGCGGGCAATGGCGTCGTGGATATGATATCGAGTTTTCTGTTGGGACACACAATTTAAATGGACGGCCCAGATCTCTCCTTCCTGATAACTCTCCCTTTATAAGAGTTAACCTTACAAACCCTAGCTCTCTTTGCAAGCGAAAACCCTAATCACACAGACAGCGCAATTCAGCTCTGATCCAATGGGTACTCTCTCCTCTACCTGTGCGAATTTCTGCGTAACTATATTTAGTTTATGGGTTTTCTGAACTTAATGTGTTTGTTGCTTGATACGTTGTGATAAAATGGTTTTTGTCACCCCATTTTGTTGGTGTAATGAGCGAACAATTTTAGTTGTCATTACTAATATGCTATGGAGTTAGTAATGAGTTATGTGATGTGGTTTTTGTGAACACGCTTGTATTTTTATGTCCGTTTCATGGCTGATGTGCGGCTTAAGCACAAGAAAGGAAAATGAAAACAAAAACAGGTTTTTTTTTTTTTTTTAATATGTCTTAAATGGTTTCCTGAAATTTATTATGCTCAAAAGAAATTTGATTTTCTGGGTATAAAATGCTGTGAGTGTTATTAAAAATAATATGTATTGGAAGATGAATGTTAGTGGTTTTTGAACCGTGATTGAGTTAATTTTATGTTAGTATTTATTTATTGGTTTGATGGGAACAGGAGCTTACACGTATGTCTCGGAGTTATGGAGGAAGAAGCAATCTGATGTGATGAGGTTCTTGCAGAGGGTGAGGTGTTGGGAGTACCGCCAGCATCCTTCAATTGTTCGGGTCACTCATCCTACTCGTCCTGACAAGGCCCGTCGCTTGGGCTACAAGGCCAAGCAGGTAATGTGTTGGTCCTTGTCAGGTTCTAGTTACAAAACATAAGCCTTATTTATTGTGATGCACTGATTTACTTTAGGTCATTACCTTCTGAACCCATCATCAGTTGGTTTTGCATACTGACATGTTCATTGCAAACAGAATCCATATTGATGGTTTTACTTTAGTCAAGAAAATTGCAGCTTTAGGGGAGGTAGAATTATAATATTTTAATAAAATTAATCACAAGAAGTTATCTATGTCTGTTGCATATATTGATCATAAGGGCATTGAAAAGGAATAAAAATTTTGTTTCTGTACCACAATGGGGGCTTGTTTTGGATGTGCATCATGCATATAGTTATGACTAGTGAGCTTTAAATCATGTTCTTATTTGTTTCATTGCTGGTTCGGTGGCATCTTGATGCGTATTCATCTCTATATGGGATGCTTATGTTCAATGATGGGGTGCTTCCTGATACCAGCTAAATTAAATCAATAATCGATTATCTGACTAAGTGGATTCTATTATCTTTAATCTCACTTTTGTCTCGATCTGGTACACTATTGTGCTACTTTTCAAATTCTTGCATTGTTAAAGTATATTCATTGGTTTAATTCATGATCACGTACTTTATTCTTGTTTTGCTTATGATATTGTAAGTTCTCCTGTGCATATTTCTGGCCACACTAATTAATATATGGAATGTGTTTGTCTTGATCTGGATGGTGAGCATCTTCATCATCTTTGTTGACGCTGTGATACTAATGTTTAAACTTTATAGAGTCATTGGCCAATTTATTTTTGTAGTGTGAATTACTTTCAACACTCAGTAACATCAATATGGTTTACCATAGTCTTTGTGATATACTTTCTTTTTTCTTGGTCTCTTATGATTTTATTTGTGTATGTTACTTTAGTTATAGCGCAAAATAATCTATCATATAAGGATGAACTGAGTTGTTATTAACCAATTGCTTGTTCTGTTAATATTCTCCTCTTTGGGGAAGCAGTTCATTTGTTATTTTTGTGCAGTTGATGAAACTGCTTAAATTGCTTTCCAGGGTTATGTCGTTTACCGTGTTCGGGTTAGGCGTGGTGGGCGTAAGAGGCCTGTTCCCAAGGGTATTGTGTATGGTAAGCCCACCAACCAGGGTGTCACTCAACTGAAGTTTCAGCGGAGCAAGAGGTCAGTTGCTGAGGAGCGTGCTGGTCGTAAGTTGGGAGGTCTCAGGGTTGTTAATTCATACTGGATCAATGAGGTTTGTGTACTAACGCTAATTTATGATTGCCCTTGTAACCTTATTTTTGAAAGTTGTTGGATATAGGTGTTTTAAAAGCTACTTAATTTTTCTCAATGCAACTCTTTTTGACAGGACTCCACTTACAAGTATTTTGAAGTAATTCTAGTTGATCCCGCACACAGTGCTATCCGCAATGACCCAAGAATTCATTGGATCTGCAACCCTGTCCACAAGCACAGGGAACTTCGAGGCCTCACATCTGCAGGAAAGAAGTACAGAGGTCTAAGAGGAAGGGGACACTTGCACCACAAGGCTCGTCCGTCTCGCAGAGCTACCTGGAAGAGAAACAATACCCTTTCTCTTCGTCGCTACCGTTAATCTTAGCATGTGCTTAGTATTACCATCACAGTGTGGATTTTGTCTGGAGGACATAGACATAGTTGTCATTTTTGAGTTTTTTAGATTGAAATACTTGGAGCGTGTTCTATTTGGAAGTCTTACAATCTTAGTTATGATTCTTGAGTTTCATAATTTTGCAGTGAAATAGTTATTTTAAGATGTGTGGCTTCTGGGTTAAGATCATGTTCAGTCTACAAGGAAACTAATAGAAAAGCCGTGGATCATTTGCTTTTGGATTTTTCCTTGGCATTTTAACTGGAACGCTGGATATAACTCCCCTTTGCTAAAGGAGAAAAGGAATTATAGAATATATCTTGGATCATTAATAATTTTGTATAATACGAAAAAAGAAAAAAGTTTCTTTTACTTTTTTAATAGAGACGTCATAAGAAACCTAACCTCCACGCTAGCAAAGTAGTACAAGACCGGCTTAATATTTTAAGTATTTTTAACATTCAAAAGATCTGACTACAAATTTCTTACACGTTAATTGGAAGGAAAATAATACAGACATAGTCACTAGTGTATCAAATTTATATATAAAATAACGTAATAAAATCTTGATTGTTGATCAATTTTAACTTAATATTAATTAACGGTCATGATTTTGTCACGTTATTTGGTGCATAAATTCGATGCACTATTTCAATAATTGTAACATTACTCTGATTGAAATTAGATTTTGGCCTAACATGTAATATGGTTTTGTAACAGTCACTTTTCAGGTATTAGATTCACATAGGTATCTTTTTTTAATAGTTTTTCAGGCCAATGTTCAGAAAATTGGATCGGACGTTGACCCATTCAAGGGTCTGGTTCCCGATTTGACCGGTTGGATAGGTCGGTTGGACCGTATGTTGTAAAATTCTTTTAGTCCCTAAATGTTTGAAATTCATCAAAAACAATTCATCAAAAACACCTCTAAATAATTACGCATGACTCCCTTAAGATTTGAAATCTATCCAAAACACCCCTATCGTGCGAAGAGACTGGTGAGTGGTGGCGGCAGCGACGATCGACGGCCAATCGAAGCTTGGAATCATGGGGCTTTTGATGTATAGGTTCCAACGAATCTTATAGTGGTGTCAAGGAGTTCTACCGATGCTAGAATTTTCCGAAATCAAGAAAGAAGGTCGACGATTGCATGAACAATAGGTGGACAGCAATCGACGGCCAATCAAAGTTTGGAATGATGGAACTTTTGATGTAAAGGTGCCGACGAATCTTATGGTGATGTTAGGGAGTTCTAAGGGCGTCGGAATTTGCCTGAATCAAAAAAGAAGTCCGATGGTTGCGTGAACGATAAGTGGACGACGAGTGACGAAAAGCTGGACGGCAACCACTGAAAATGGATGGGTTTTGTTGTGGAGATGCCATCAAGTATTATGGTGGTGTTATCTCCCTCGAACAATGCCGGAATTCGACGAGATTGACTTGCGATTGGACCGCGATTCGGTACTATTCCGACGATCCAACCGCGGCTCAATCCGGTTTGATTAAGAATACCGGTTTTCAAGGGAAACCGGACTATAGATGACGCCGGTTTCTAGTCAAACCTGTCCGACCGTTCAGTCCGGTCCGGTTTTCAGAACTTTGTTTCAAGGGCTTTTGTATAGACACTTATAAGAGAAGATCTAATAACAAGTGGATTTCTCATTCACTTTTATATCTCTTAACTTCCACTTCAGATCTGTCTACAAAACCGTTGGAGAGTATTTCAGCGTTTCAATGAGAAACATCTCTTCCTGTTGAGGCATTATTGGAGCATTTGAGTGGTCAACTTCATAGCCTTCTATCAATGTAACTCTCTTTAAGACTCTGTAATGCTTGTCGAACTGAATCCTCATCTTGGCTGGAGTATTTTAAGCATAGTAGCCGTTGGGCAACGTGGTAAGCTATCTGGAGCTGAGTATACTGCGTACAGTTTACTTCCATTCGCTGTACCTCCTGACAATTACAAAATTAACAAAGTTTATGAACAAGGTACAGAAATTGGGTTGGGTTTGAGCCTCTTCATGTTTTCTACTCTGGACTTCCAAGGTTCTGATGTGTATGAATTATATATATATATATGGTAAACTTTTTTCTTCTTTCAAATTATACCATTCTGAATGAGAGCTAAAATGTGTTATTTCCAGGTATGGAAATAAAATCATAGTAAGTTTGTAAAACTTTAAAATGCCAGTGATCAGAATTGTGAATCAAGATTTGTGAACTTGTAGTTGACTAAAATTTGAAAGGCAATTGCTCAAGAAAAATCACCTTGGCAGTGATCCTTGCTGTGATACTTTTTGCTGTTTCGACCACCGAGCTTGGTAGTCCTGCCACTTCGGCTAGTAGAAGGCCATAGTGTGCGACATGTCTTTGCCCATCAGTGAGTTGAAACTGAATTTTAAATAGATCACCATGAGTCAGCACAAAGCAGCCAAAATTCTATGTTGGATTTTGACAAAACAAGATAAAGCCACCTTGAAATCTAAACGGCTGTTTCTTATATCAACATAGAAGTGAACAATTTTCACATTTGGATAGATGGTTGTTAATTGTGACAGATTCTCCATATGTGTGGCGAATATTGTGTACCTGTTGATTATAACAAATACATTAATCTTTGCAATGAAGGTTTGTTTATCTCAAGGGATCTTAAAAAAGAAAGAGAATTAAAACAAAAATACAGTGCGATAAGTCCACAGATTTTATATGCTTTTTCAACTTTTACAACAAACTTGAGGCATGGTAGTAGAAATGTCAGATAAGTTATTACGCTTTCAGTGATAGGAGGTGCTCACAGCAGCTCCATGCAATTGCAAATCCATCAGAAGAAGAAGTAGCCCTCCCGAGTTCATCCATCACTATCAGACTCCTAAACAATAACAAATATTATAGAAACTAATGCACATATTAATGAGTTCCGACCATTATATAGTCCCTTACCTTTGGGAGACATTCTGCATGATAAATGCTGTCTCTTTCATCTCTGTCATGAACTGTAACATGCAAGCAACCAAATAACTCTTTTCTATTAAAATCAACTTTTTGAAAGAAATATGCACCAGAAATTAAGATAACCAGGGGAAAAGAAAGAACTTTATATGCACAATGGAAAGGATATTATAAAAATAAGAATGATTCTAAAGCACAATATCGCCCTCCTAGCCTACTCTGCAGATACAGGAAGCATGTACGCAGACACTGTGCATCTCAAGAGATCACTAGAACTTATTAGACTAAAGCAAGGATCGTCTGCTTACAATAGTCAGTAAGAGAAAACCTAGAATTTGAACAATCAGATTAAAAGCTCTACCTAAACATTTCCAGTACAGTCAGCTCCAGTGAGGAAAGAAGGTCCAGGAAGCAATATTGAGGAAGTTCTACCACTCCAAAGATTCTCCCATGATATTAGTCTCATATTTTGATAAAAGAAATGAACATGCTGAACATATACATCACAAGTCTTCACTAAACACTACCAAAAATTTCTAACGAGCTTCTAAAAAAAATATACTTGAGGAAAATAAAAGAAGAATCACAGCACTAAAAAGGCAATTTTTACCCCTTTTCCCTTCATTTCGGTTGGGGAATATACATCACATGTTGATTTTATAGAACAAAATCTAACAATTTGCAACAGTGGAGTTTGGAAATCATACTGTACTAGAGTTGGATTCGAGATTATCCATTGTACCCATCCTTGTAAATATACGATCAACAACCCTTATAGTTGAGAAATTAGCAGGAACATAACAACCTATCTGTGCAAGAATAATTATGAGACAGATTTGTTGAAGATAAGTGCTCTTTCCACTCCTGAAGGAAACAAGAATAGTATCAAAACACAAGCATAATACAGAACTCAAATCAAATTATTCTTTTGTGAAAGCCAAGTTATCAATCAAAAAGTTTAAATGGAAGAGCTTTATTATTATAAAAAGTAGCTGAGGTTTAAATTTTAGTTGAGGTCACCCCTGCAGAATCCTACGCTCGTGGCCCTACAGGATGCCTAAGATATAATTTGACAGTGTTAAATGCAGAATTTACCCCCACTTTCTGCTCTCAACATTTATCTTATGCCAGTTTACTGCAAACTCTTTGCAATAGGATCCTTCAACTCTGCATTCGGGGAACGGGATGGATATATAAAGGGAGAAGGCATCGCATCGCATCCCATCATTCGTAGGTAAATTTTATTTGTCCAACCCATTAACCCTTCACATTAATGAGCAGTGAAATTTGAGGTGACTAGGTGAGTAGTACTTGTTGATCAGCAGCTCACCAATTTTACGGTTTTAAGCATGTGAAATTGGGTGTGTTGAAATGTAAAACAAAATATTAAGTGTCTGAAATTTCAAATATTTTTTTCTTCTCTCTTTCTCGGAATTTTTTTTTTTCCGGCGACTGTTCTCTGGCAACGATCAGAATCTGGTCTAATCACACTAGACTGATCGTCTTCCCATCGTCGTCATAACTCGAGTGATTTCGTCACCGGCCGCCGCTGCACGCACCCTCATGCGCCACTCGTTTTTCCGGCAGCCCCTCCTCCAATCTACTTTTCCGGCGAGCGTGAGTTCTCACCGCCACCAGAATCTTGTTCCTCTCCACCTCGTCGGCAAATCCCTTCAAGGTGTTTCCGTCAGCTTCTCCTCCGATCTGGTTTTCCGGCGAGTATTCTGTTTTTCCGGTGCACGTAAGTTTTTGCTTTTCTGTCAGCTTCAAGACACTCTGACCTTCTCATGGATTCCTCAAAATCAGCCTCTCAATCACATACAAGTGGTTTTTCTTTTTTATCTCTCCCTCCCATCACCACTGAGTGATTAATTGGGACTGCTAATTATTCATCATGGGCTGCCTCTATTGAATTATGGTGTATGGGTCAAGGTCTGGAGGATCACTTGACCACCAAAGCTGCCGATATTACGTCAAATAAGTCTTCATGGACTAAAATTGATGCTATGCTGTGTAGTATGTTATGGCAAACTATTGATCCCCCTCTTCACCCTATTTACAAATCTTATCGCTCTTGTGTTGATATTTGGAGTCAGGCTAAACTTCTCTATACAAATGACATTCAGCGTTTATATTCTGTTGTGTCCAACTTAGTTCATCTTAAACAACATGATATGAATATGTCGGACTTTCTTGGTAAGATGGCCTCCCTTAAGATAGAATTTAATATGTTGATACCTGCTGGTAAATCTGCGACAGAAGATTTGGCTCAACGAGACAAGTTCTTTATGGTCCTGACACTTGCAGCTCTCGGTCCAGATCTTACACCTGTTCGAGATCAAATTCTTTCTGGATCCACCGTGCCTTCCCTTGATGAAGTGTTTGCCAGATTACTTCGGGTTTCCTCCCCTACTACTGTGCATTCCCCAGGTGACTCTTCAGTCCTTGTTTCTCAGTCCCACACTTTTTGATAACAGGGCGATCGAAGTGGCAGAGGAAATCGGCCCAAGTGTATTACTGTCATCGGTGGGGGCATACTAGAGAGAAATGTTTTAAGTTACATGGTCGACCTACCCGAGCTGCTAATATTGCTCAGGCTGATCACTCTGATCTTCATTCTGAGTCCTCTACAATGCCAGCTAACCTCTAACTTCACAAGTACTGCTATGATGAATAATTACAGTATCAGGCCAGGAGCAGTCTTCTTCATCCATGCCTCCGTCGCTCAAACGGGTAATTCAGTTGCTTGCCTTTCTCAGTCTTCTGCTTTAGGACTTGGTCCTAGATTCAGGTGCCTCGGACATATTTCTGGTAACCCTCGTTTACTTACTGAGATTACAAATATTGTATCTTTACCTCCTGTTACTTTAGCCAATGGGTCTAAAGCCGATGTTCAAGCTATTGGATGTGCAAAACCCCTCCCCTCCTTAGCATTAGCTCTATACTTATATTCCCAAATGTCCATTTAATCTCGTGTCTGTTAGTAAACTTACCCGCTCCTTAAATTGCTCTATTCGTTTGTTAATGACTCTATTGTTATACAGGATCGCGACACGGGATGGATGATTGACACAGGATGTGAGTCACAGGGTCTCTATCATCTCCATACCCATCTACAGCATGCATTGTCTCCGAGTCTCTGGATCTCCTTCATAATCGTTTGGGCCATCCTAGTCTTTCCAAACTTCGGAAAAGATCCCAGGTCTATCTAAATTATCATCTTGAGTTGTGAGTCTGTCAACTTGGAAAGCAACTCGTAGTTCTTTTCCAAAGCGTGTCATAAAAGGGTTGCGTCCCCCTTGAGGTTAGTGCATTCAGATGTGTGGGGTCCTTGTCGTGTTAACTCTACTTTGGGATTTAAATATTTTGTTACATTTATTGATGACTATTCCCGTTGCACTTGGTTATTTCTTATGCGCTCTCGTTCTAAATTATTTTCCATATTTTCATCATTTTGTGTGAAATTAAGACTCAACACAACACTACCATTTGTATATTATGAAGTGATAATGCTGTCTATATTTTCTGATTCCTTTACTAAATTCATGACATCTCAGGGAATTCTTCATCAGTCTTCTTGTGCTTATAGTCCCCAACAGAATGGCATTGCTGAGCGTAAAAATAGACACCTTATTGAAACTGCTCGCACTCTTTTTACATATCACGTCCCTTTCGGTTTTGGGCTGACGCGGTTCAACCGCCTATTACTTAATAAATCGCATGCCTTCTTCTGTCTTAAAGACCAGGTTCCCCACTCCATATTATTCCCCGATACTCCATTATTTTCTCTTCTCCCCGGTGTCTTTGGGAGCACTGTTTTGTTCACATTTCCTCCTAATTATGATAAACTGTCAGAAGTCTACGAAATGTATTTTCTTAGGGTATTCACGTCTTCAGAAGGGCACAAGTGGTATTCTCCCGCCATACATCGTACTTCATCTCTGCTAATGTTACGTTCTTTGAGTCTTCTCCATTTTTTCCTCATCCTCCATGGAGTGATCGGTAGTGGATGTTCTACCAATTCCATACGTTGCTTTCCCACTTCGTCTGTTCGATACCTCAGTTTACTACTAATACCACTCTTCCTGTCGACATAGTCTTGTTCCTTTTACAGGTAATCCTGATGTTCCCGCTGCGTTCCTAAGATCCCTGTACTGAGGTCCTGTGCCCGATCCTCCAATGCCACAGTCCTATCTCCAGCTGATCAGTTTCCCATTGCTATTGTAAAGGTATGCGGTCTACACGCAACCCTCATCCCATCACAATTTTTTGAGTTATCATCGTTTATATCCTTCATTATTGCCTTTGTCTCCACCCTTTCTTCTGTTTTTGTTCCTTGCAATGTTCATGAGGACTTTCTCACCTCGAGTGGCGTCAGGCAAGGTTGAAGAAATGTCTGCTTTGCATCATACATACTTGGGAGTTAGTTTCCTTACCTCTGGGCCATTCGACTGTTGGTTGTCGATGGATTTACACTGTAAAGGTTGGTCCAGATGGTGGTTGATCGGCTGAAAGCGTTTGGTGGCCAGGGATACATTCAGATCTATGGGACAGATTATTTTAACACTTTTTCTCCTATTGCTAAGATTTCTTCCGTTCGGTTGTTCTTTGCTATGGCTGCCATTCGGAACTGGCCTATGCATCAATTGGATATAAGAATGCTTTTCTTCATGGTGAACTAGGAAGATATTTATATGGAGCAACCTCCTGGTTTTGTTGCTCAAGGGGAGTCTGGTTTGGTATGTAAACTTCGCGTTCTCTATATGGTCTAAAACAGTCCTCGTGTTTGGTTGGACGATTTAGCACAGTTATCCAAGAGTTTGGTATGATTCATGTGAGTCTGATCACTCTGTTTTCTATGAACATACATCATCAGGACAGTATATCTATCTGGTTGTCTATGTCGATGATATTGTTATTACAGGAAGTGATCAAGATGACATTAGACAGTTGAAGCAACATTGTTCAAACACTTTCAGACGAAAGACTTAGGGCTACTCAGATACTTTCTTGGCATAAAAGTCGTCAGTCTAAATAGGTATTGTTATTTCTTAGAGGAGTATGTATTGGATATCTAGAGGAAACGGGGATGTAGATGCAGACCAACAGACTCTCCTATGGATCTTAATTTAAAACTTTCACCTGGACAGGGGAGCCTTACTGATCCTGGAAGTATCGAGACTTGTTGGAAAACTTAACTATCTTACTATCACACGACCAGATATATCCTTTTTTGTCAGTGTTGTGAGTCAGTTCCTTCAAACTTCGTGTGATAGTCATTGAGATGCAGTGTCGGATTTTGAGGCATATCAAGGGAGCACCAGGTAGAGGCTTACTGTATGAAAATAAGGGTCATTTGCATATTGTGGATATTCAGATGATGATGGGCAGGTTCTCCATCTGATAGACGTTCTAACTCAAGATTTGTGTTCTTGTTGGAGGAAATCTAGTTTCATGGAAAAGTAAGAAACAGCAGTTGTTGCAAGGTCAAGTGCTGAAGCAGAGCATCGTGCAATGGCCTTAGCCACTTGTGCGCTGGTTTGGTTAAAACAACTAATTCAAGAGTTGAGATTTGTCGAAGTATCACAAATGAAGTTACTCTGTGAAATCAGGCTGCCCTTCATATTGCTTCAAATCCAGTGTTTCATGAGAGGACTAAACACATAGAAATTGATTGTCACTTTGTTCGAGAGAAAGTTCTATAGGGTGTATTGCAACTAGTATGTCAGTTCCAACGACCAGTTAGAGACATCCTCACTAAGTTTCTCAAAGGTTCTCGTGTGACTTTATTTGTACAAGCTTGGTGCATATGACTTATATGCTCCAACTTGAGGGGGAGTGTTGAAATGTAAAACAAGAAAATATTTCTCCACAGGGTGCACACGGATGTCAAATATTAAGTAAAAATAAAATCATCTGGGTATCAAACCTTATACATATTCCAGTAAATCAATATTAGAAAAGAATGGTGCATCAAACGACTTCAACTCATGCCAGGAAAAGATTTCATACAACATGTTTGGGCCCATGACAATCAACATGTTTGATGCTTCGTAACAAAGATATTGTTGGCCTACAAAGGAAGCAATGATCAACTTTAAGAGCAAGGTTGAATTTAGAAAAGTAAAAGAGAAAGTTGCAAAATTTTCCTATTAAGAAGAATCTAAATTAAGCAATAAAAATAAAAAGATAAATCAACGTACAACAAAGTCATTAGTATGCTCTCTAGGATAGGATGTCTTCAGAATCGATTGCAATTGGGCCATTCTCTTAGTAATAGACATGATGAAGCATTAAGCCACTGAAGGGAAAAGATATATAAGAAGAGTTACTAACCAGTAAATTTGGTCTAGTATATCTGTCACAGGCTTAGTTGATTGTATGAGCAAATGAATAACATCATATCTAACAGGCACAAGACCTCTGCAAGCATGTGAGCACAGAGACATCCTCCTTATTGAGTCTACCAATGCTACATATTGTATAAAATTACAGTAAGCAATCAATAATTATGGCAGCATGTAGCAAAATATTTTAAATTCAGATTCAGAATTGACATCCATACGTTTAAATAAAAAGTAAGAGCAGTAATTAGAGGATAGGATAATTAAAATTATAGGGAGGAGCACGGGTAGCGGGGTAGAACCGGAACCAGAAACTACCTGAAACCGACACTGTGTGGATAGGTTTGTTTCTACAGGTTTGGAATCAGAATCTGGGAAAAGAACCTGAAACGGAACAGCTTGGAATTTGTTTGTGTTTTGGTTTTGATTGAGAAATTTTATATGAATTGATTGAATTCAAGTGTTGCCTAAAAATTAGAGGATTTATGAGTCACATTGGACACAATAATGAGTAATAAAAAATTGAAAACTACTAAATGGAGGTTTCTTAATTTGTTAGAAGTGTATTTGTAAACTTTAAGGTATTTTTGTTATTTTTTAAACTAATGGGGTAATTATTTTTACAGGGTACCCGAGTAAGGAACCGAAACTTGCATTTCAGGTTCCGGTTCCTTTAATTAAGAACTGGAACCAATGGTTCCTGTTTCGGTTCCTTTTTTTGGGAACATGCACTGGGTGTTCCGGTTCCGATTCCCAAAAAATGCAGGGTACTCAGAACCGCTCACCCATAATTAAAAAGCTGCTAGGGTAGGCATATAGAGTATTTATATTAGATCTGACATATATAGCCTAGCATGAGAGAAGATAGGCATTGAGAAAAACATAAATGAAGAGAAACATGCCAGCTAAGTGTGATAACAACCATGATTGCAAGTCCCTCATTATCCTCTCTCACCAACCATTACTGTACTAGGTCACTAATTCCTCTTGACCCCAGCAGAAGCATACATAAAGAGAAATATGCCAGCCAAGTGTTATGATGACTATTTTCCACCAAAACTAATTTTTCAGAAGCATTTAGCAACTGAAAATCCAAATTGGAAATCGATGAAATTCCAATGATGTGAATTCACATACTATATCCATCCAGCAAGCAAATATTTGGGTAGTAAAATAGTTGTTGCTTAATGAGCCCCATGCTTCAGGAAAAGAGCATTAAAAAAATTAAGCACTTTACTGAATAAAAAGTTCCATCAGTTTCAATGGAAGTATTTGGAGCTCATGATACCAAAAATATAACATAATAAGTCTATCACAACCTTCCAGGCAAACTTCAGTTCGTATATAGCACTCCCCAGCCGCAGACTTATTTCTGACATTCAGCTGAAATTTTAGTGAAATAAAGAAAAACTTATGAAGATATTTTTCAAGATCCACAAAGACATATTAAATGCAGAACCAGATAGATGTATAGATGTATATATGTATATATATGGTCTCACCATCAAATGAAAATTTTCTAGAAGCTGGGATAAGTTCATCATGTTCAGCATTAGTCTTCATCAAATAAAAAGCATTTACCAATAATTTATCATGAATTTTTTTCAATTAAAAAAAAAAAAAAAATAGCTATCTCCATGGAAAGCATTATGTACAATTATCATCAAAATCAGATAAAGAAAGAGCTAATGACATGCTGCAACGTAACAGGGAGGAAACTGGATCTCATCATTTCTGTTGTCTCCAAGGATGGTTATCTTCTTCTCAATATGTTTTTCCTTTGCAAATATGAATAAACCATCAAAGGAGATATAGTGCAGACATTCATATCTCAGTACACTGAATATCTAAATTTCAATAAGATTATTAACCTGAATATGGAAATGGAATTTGTTCAATGATGATAGAACTTACAGAAGCCAGTTCTAAAGTTGAGCAATGTATATTGTTCCCATGTTTCACGACCTGATTAATGTCTCAAAAGCATATTAAAATAAAAATTAACTGATGAGGAGATATTTCTATAATAAAATAACTAAGAAAAATATGTATACCTGAATGCACTTGCTTGGAAGCTTTCCTTGAATGTCTTTTTGTGGAATGCTAAAGTAAAAGCCCTGTCTATTGTTAAAGGGTAGCTTCAAATTTGGCAGCTTTAGTTCTTCACGATACTTGTTTGCCAGATTATGTATAGCTGCTAGTTAAATTTCAAAAGCTTTTAGATTGCATAATACCACATCCCAAAAGTGAATATAGAAAAAAGAAAAAAGTGCAGAAAGAAATAATAATAATATTATTAAAAGGAAGACCAAATGATAGAGAACAATGTTGAACTACATAGCTAGTAGAAAAACCTTCACTCGTATCACAAAATGATCTCCGTGCAATATCTAGAAGACCATCAATTCCAGCCTTAACAGCAAAACACTGCTGTGTGCGAGCAACGAAAGGAACCCGTGCATGAAGCACATCTTCATCAATTACCTCTCCAATTCTGAATAAATAAATTAAGCTTCTCAGAACAACTTTTTTATGGTTACTGAAACCTTGATAATATTGTTCGCCAAATAACACATCAATGACAGGATGTCTTAAGCCACACTGTTAAACTAAGATTGAGAATGTTTTATACTACTTGAAATGGTAATTCCGCAACAAATTGATTGCATAATGGTACTCAAATATCATAGACTCCTAATCTCAATAGAACGAAAATATTTTTTTTTTTCCATTGAGGTAATACCATAAATAAAATATAACTTAGGTAGTATCAGATAGCTCCATGATCAATATCTTTTTTGTTTTCCATTGAGGTAATACCATAAATAAAATAGAACTTAGGTAGTATTAGATAGCTCCATGATCAATATCATGATCATGAGCACCATCATCATCATCATCATAATCATATAATTTTTGGTTTAACCGCTTAGGATTGAGATATTTGAAGTCCCCTTATTTCCTCCTATCTAGTTTTGTGCCTTCTCCAAATTTCATGAGGTTTAACTGATGGACTCGGGCATGAGTGAATCAGTAAATATCAATGAGCTATGGCTTCTGAAAAAAAAATAAAATAAAATAAAATAAAAAAAAATTCCTCGAACCTCATTTGGTATTGACGGTGAAACATAAAAGAGCTTGAAAGTTGCATGCTAAATTAAAACTATAAGGATTGTGGATTTTCCAGTTTAGTAAGAAAAAAAATGATAAAAGCATGAAAAACTGAAAAGAATGAAAGAAATCATAAGATATTTTTTATTTTAAATAACTGATAAGCAGGAGGGAATCTCCTGGGTCATGAAAGAGGCCCAAATTGAGAAAAATCCGTGGAAGACAAACATAATGCACTTTATTGTTAAAATAAATGTATTCATATTGTGAATAAAACTTCAAAGAGAAAGCTCGAATTTCTGCTCTTAACGATTATTTGTCAGTAGTAATTTTAGCCAATTAGAATGTCAGAACTCAAGCAAAATACAAGGTTTAAATGTCTGAACTCTTAAAATAAACTTCAGAACATAAGCAGATAGAGAAACATATAATCCATCAGCTGGATCATGTGTTGCAACACACCTCTTTCTGATGGAAGAATATTTTTCATTTTCACAGACAGACTTGTATATGTTTGCCAGAAGAAAACTTTTTGCATCCTTAAGCACCTAAAATATTTTAAAAACAAGGAATTGAAAATATGTTTGAGTTAAGTTAGAATAATCTCAGTATACAGGAAAGAAAATATTATAACCTTTGTAAGTAAAGGCAAGGCATCCAAAGCTGTTTTAAGTAGAATAATGCTTGATATCAGTATTTGGCTCGTTCTAGCATTCACAACATCCGTGATCTTACTTGTAACTTTCTTCTGTTTGAAGCAGAAATGACAAAGTACCCTATCTGAGAGAGTATATAAGTTCTCTGTTAGATGGATAACAAAAGTGGACTGATTGCCAGAACACTAGAACAAAGAATCTTGCATTATTTTAGCTATTTCTTTCATTCACTTCAACTTACCTGTCTCTTTCGGAAACTTACGGAGAACCTGAGAGAGTCCAAAGAATAGTTGTTCATTGCTCATCAACTCATCCTAGAATCAGATATTGAAAATACATATTATGGCTTTAAAACAGATTTATTTGAACAGTGTCATCATGACATTGAAAAATAAAGCAAAATCTAAACTTAAATAGACAAATTTGGAGTAGATATTTTTTAGAAAAATAATACGTAATACTTATAGAAGTTTATAAATTTTGAGCAGATAGTTGCTATTTAATCATTTTGGCCATGAGACCTTGTGCAATCAGATAAACAAATGCAGCTTAAGCTAGCAGTAGCTTAATGCCTATGGTTCTGAACTTTGATAAGAACAGATTTTGACAATGATATTGGTAGTAGGACAGAATTGCATGGTAGCTCACCAAAAGTAATGTTACTATGGTGTACACTATGTGCATGTGGTTCACATCATATCTTCCAGTCCTGCTCTCCCTCCAAAGAGCACCAAAAAATTGTAAAAAAAAGAATGACTGAACCAAAGCAAAACACCACTTTTTTCAATTGCAATGCAAGTTCAATCACATGACTACAGAATAATTATAATGTATCATTCAAACACATGTATATCTTTGCCAAAGTTGATGTTGCACAATAATACATTGAAGCATCACATCTAAACAATATGTTTCTTCCCCCTGGTAGATACAAAAAACATATTGCATGTTGCAGATCTGAAGAAACAAATACATTTTGCATCTAACAAAGAAATTCAAGGATAACTGAGAATGGTTTAGGAATAGTAAATGTCTGCTTAGATAGACAGCTCCACTAGAAAATCCAAATGTGAAACTAACCAGACAGTCTAGACGAGTGTTGATAGTTTCAATATCCTTTAAAGGCTGTAACAGATTGGCACGAAGTAGTCTAGTCCTGGAAAAGAAATCCCAAAGAACACCACATTATTAAATTTTAATGAGGAGTGTTTTAAAAAAGGCAGGAAAAAATTTCAGCTGCTACATTGCTACTTGGAGAATCTCAACTTCTTACATACTAAAGCATGCACAACATTCTCTTGTGTGGAATAATCCTTGACCAATATTCATGCAGTAAGTGCTGAAATTATAATTATAGGAAAATATTTTTTTCTTGAAAAAAAGTTGGAAGCAGTTGACAATATAACATGCTGCATGATCATTTTATTAATCGATGACAGACCCTCCAATAGTTTTTGTTGTCTTGAGCATATGGAACAGACTTCTTTTCTTGTTGCTTGTGCCCCAAAGGGCAAAATGAAGTGGCTCAACAATTTCCAGATTCTGGACACTGCCATAAAACTCCACTGTTAAGTACCAAAGAATTACAAAGGAAATATTGCTTTTTCTATACCTACTAAAATTATTAGAAATTTGATTTTTTATATATATATATAAGAGGAGTAGCAACTGAAAACTTCCTGAAAAGGAAGGAGGGGTACCTAGTGGCATCGATATTCATGTGGTCAAATGATCCATTAAAAGTTACCTGACAAAGAGAGAATTCAATGAGTAAAGTAAAGGTTACTCTTCTATAATTGGTACATAGATTATAAAGCACATACCAATAGCGAGTGGTTTGTANTCATAATACTTATAGAAGTTTATAAATTTTGAGCAGATAGTTGCTATTTAATCATTTTGGCCATGAGACCTTGTGCAATAAACAAATGCAGCTTAAGCTAGCAGTAGCTTAATGCCTAAGGTTCTGAACTTTGATAAGAACAGATTTTGACAATGATATTGGTAGTAAGACAGAATTGCATGGTAGCTCACCAAAAGTAATGTTACTATTTTCTACACCATGTGCATGTGGTTCATATCGTATCTTCCAGTCCTGCTCTCCCTCCAAAGAGCACCAAAAAATTGTAAAAAAAAAATGACTGAACCAAAGCAAAACACCACCTTTTTCAATTGCAATGCAAGTTCAATCACATGACTACAGAATAATTATAATGTGTCATTCAAACACATGTATATCGTTGCCAAAGTTGATGTTGCACAATAATACATTGAAGCATCACATCTCAACAATATGTTTCTTCCCCCTGGTAGATACAAAAAACATATTGCATGTTGCAGATCTGAAGAAACAAATACATTTTGCATCTAACAAAGAAATTCAAGGATAACTGAGAATGGTTTAGGAATAGTAAATGTCTGCTTAGATAGACAGCTCCACTAGAAAATCCAAATGTGAAACTAACCAGACAGTCTAGACGAGTGTTGATAGTTTCGATATCCTTTAAAGGCTGTAAAAGATTGGCACGAAGTAGTCTAGTCCTGGAAAAGAAATCCCAAAGAACACCACATTATTAAATTTTAATGAGGAGTGTTTTAAAAAAGGCAGGAAAAAATTTCAGCTGCTACATTGCTACTTGGAGAATCTCAACTTCTTACATACTAAAGCATGCACAACATTCTCTTGTGTGGAATAATCCTTGACCAATATTCATGCAGTAAGTGCTGAAATTATAATTATAGGAAAATATTTTTTTCTTGAAAAAAAGTTGGAAGCAGTTGACAATATAACATGCTGCATGATCATTTTATTAATCGATGACAGACCCTCCAATAGTTTTTGTTGTCTTGAGCATATGGAACAGACTTCTTTTCTTGTTGCTTGTGCCCCAAAGGGCAAAATGAAGTGGCTCAACAATTTCCAGATTCTGGACACTGCCATAAAACTCCACTGTTAAGTACCAAAGAATTACAAAGGAAATTTGAATATTACTTTTTCTATACCTACTAAAATTATTAGAAATTTGATTTTTTATATATATATATAAGAGGAGTAGCAACTGAAAACTTCCTGAAAAGGAAGGAGGGGTACCTAGTGGCATCGATATTCATGTGGTCAAATGATCCATTAAAAGTTACCTGACAAAGAGAGAATTCAATGAGTAAAGTAAAGGTTACTCTTCTATAATTGGTACATAGATTATAAAGCACATACCAATAGCGAGTGGTTTGTAACAATGACCCCTTTCTCTGCTTCTATCCTGTGCATGAAGTTGAAACTTAAGTTTCAGAAAAAGAAGACTTGAGGATTTCATGTACCATAACATGTGCAAATGCGTGTTAATCTTCAAACAAGAAATACACTAGTTTACACCACTTTCTAGTAGCTGTAGAAAGATCCAGTGAACAAGCAATGAAGGAGAAGCAACAAGTTTGCACTTTCATCAGGGATGAACTAGATTGAGAACTAAAACATTATTTTTTGTTAAATATTTAAAAAGATTAAGTTTATACCACTTTATAGTAGCTGCAGCAGCAGCCAGGCAGAGATAATACTGCTTGTAATAGGTATCTAAACCAAGTGCTGAGGGCTCCTTGGCTGCTAAACTTTTAACCAGCACAGCACCCTGGAAGATTAATCACAATGGAAATTCAAGCAAAGAAATACAACTGTCAGCACCCATAACCTAAACACCAGTGAAGCATGAGAAGTATTTAGTGTAACCTTAGTATCATCAAAGCAACCACGAGCCATAACAACCTATATGAATCAACATAACAAATTAAAACATGTTAAATTTCTACTCATATACACAGAAACATAGGCATGCAATTACTTTTGCTCAGACAGAGAGTAGAGCTACAAATTTTAAATATTAAGGGACACCACCTTCCTGACTGAAGCATAAAATCTATCCACCAGTTCTGATACTCCAACCATACCGTCAGGTGCCAGTTTGTTTGGAGAAACGATGATCACCATGGGGTCATAAAAATGCAGCAAAGTTTTTGTATTCTGATATGAGCTACTGGTTTCAATATACTGAGAAAGATGCAGGGTAGCCGACCTCAAGTCAAAAGCAGCCACCCCTACCTGTTCATATTTGTGTTAGTCAGGAACCTTGCACTTCACCAGCAAACTAATTTTAATCGGGAAGATTATTTAAAGACATGGTAAATATTAAAAAGATATTTCAGAGCTGCAAATAGAAAATGATGAAACATATTTATTCATAAACTTCAAAATTTCAAAGAGCACCTTCTAACCTTTTATAAGTTATTAAAATTCGAGCAAAAATAAATGAAGGTTTCTTATAAGCAAGTACTATTAGTGCCACCAAAAGTGGAACAGGTTGCAGTCAGCAAGACACCATGTAGCCTGGTAACTTGGTAATAATACTTAGAAATCAGTATACTAATTGTAATGATAAAGATCTCTTTTCTTTCTAAGTCCTAAGATGATTTTAATTTTAATTTGGTGATAATAATATCGCCACCACAATTTGTGACGGACATGAAGTTATTACCAAGAATATTTTAGCGTTCCAATTGATAGTATGGTTTGATTTTATGTAAAATATTGAATTCAAATTGTCTGGCTTTTCTATAACTAACTGCTACTAGCCCCTAAAAAACTCGTGCACAGATACGATTTGACGGCAACAGAGCTGAAACAATTGAATAACTTCATTTACATATTGAAGTAAAAAATCAAATAACATGCGAAACAACCTCCATCTTCATAAGATCTTTGTCAATTTTGCATCTTCAAATAATCATAAAACACATATGTAAAGAACGAGTCTGTGCTGTTAATCCAAAAATAGCCGTTGAAATTTGAAATTGTCAACTACACTTTTTCTCATTCAGTTACAAACAACATATAATCTCCATTTTTTCTCTCTTTTGCAATTGATGAACCAATTGCTAAAAATTAGAACGTAATTACACTTGAATACTTGATCATCTTCATGAAATCGTCTAGAAGGAGAAGAAGAAAGAAACAGAAATTTTTTAAAAAGAAAGGAGCAAGAATTATAACATAAAACTGATTTTATTTTTTTATTTCAATTTTGAAATTCGGATTAAAAGACGACGGCTACGGACTTATTGTGAGCGAAGGTTCTAGTCATTCCGTATCAAAGAAAAAAGTGATACCAATAATATAATTTCTTCAATTTCAGTAGGTTTTCTCGGGATTCAAACAGAGATTACCTCTTTAGCTCTATTTTCGATAAGACCGGTTATGAAGCTCGATCTCTCTCCTCCTTCGTCTTCCATTTGGCTTTCAAAGTAGAGAACGAGACCAGAAAGAGTGAGGCAAGGCGCGTCGATTCGATACCTGTTTATAACGAGACGTTATATAAATTTTGTATAGACTAGTTTTTCTCAGAGCACAAGTGTGCCCGATGCTCGGTTGAGCAGGATGCGTGTTTGCGGAAAGAGCGCTGGGTATGGCAGAGAGGTGAAAAATGTAGCGGGAACTACGAAGCAATTATAATCATTTTAATTGTTTTTAAATCAATAGATTTTATTTATTTTTCCAAGGCCCAAATACTTTTCTCAACCTAGGTTTGACAAAGTAACAATTTAGTACCTCTAGTCTAGTTTCAGAAATTACTCACGTTCCATCCATGGTTAATCTCCGTCTATCCAAATTTTAGTGTGACTAATTTTGACCATTAAATATCAATTTTATCCTTATAAATTATCATTAAAATAATAAATACATTTTCAACATAATCATTAATCAACCATTATCGTTAGTAACAAAGTTAACAATAAATATCCACTTTGATTAATGGAACGATCAACAAATGATTAAAAAAAATTCAAGTGAAAATTATCAACAAATATTGGAAAAAAAAAAAAAAACAATAAAAAATCATCAATAAACCACACCTTCAATATAGCTTACTTTTACATTAGTAACTTCTCACACCTTTCAACAAAATTAAACAAAATCTTCCTTACAATTTCGGGGTGTTTGTCTGAGCTTATAAAAATTAGCTTATAAGCAACAATTGCTTATAAGCTAAAATTAACTTATAAGCATTTGAAATTTTAAGCAATTACGTGTTTGGTTAAAGTACTTTTAAGTGACTGATAAGTATTTGACGTGTTTGGTAAAATGTGGCTTATAAGTACATTTTATTATAAAATTACTAAAAAATGTACTACATTAAACAATGTCATACTATAGAATTTTAAAATTAAATAAGGATAATATGGTAATATACTTGGTCAAACTAGCTTATAAGCAAAATGCTTATAAACCAAAAAAAAAAAGTACCTCCCCCCAACTTATTTTTTTTAACTTATAAGCTCAACTTATAAGCTCAAAAAAATTATAAACAAACAAGTCAGCTTAATTTTACAGCTTATAAGCAAGTTTGACCAGCTTATAAGCTTAGACAAACACCAACATCAACTCCACTTAAGACTACAAACAAGTGACGAAAAATCTAAAATATCATTTTAGAAACGTAGTATTACTCAATAAACAAAGAGTTCCACTTAAAACAACAAACAAGCACGAAAAAGTTAAAATATCATTTGAGAAGTGTAGTATTATTCAATAAATAAGGAACAGTAGATAACATATAGTAAAATTCGGCTACAGTTAAAAGACCGGTAGGCATGGAATCAATGCTCAAGAAAAGTCCATTGCCCGGCATCATAACCAGCATAAGTGCTTCCACAAATGGTTACTTGATTGCTTAATCAACGCCATGGGATCATCGCATTTATATATGTGCATTTACTAATGATGCAGCAAAACACGAGCCCCAAATGAAGATTGGTTGAAAAAGAAAAGCCATGAATATTTTAAAACAAGCCACCAGTTCACAGGCTCTTTCGTTAGGCAAGACATGTATACAGCAACTTTTATATTTGTGTAATTTAGCAAAAGAGTAAGGTGTACAAGAATCATCAATTCCGCTGTCTTCTTTCAAAACCCATCAACCTTTACAATTACGCTTATCTAAGACTTCATCAATTGTTATAAATCGGCCCTTCTCAATTGAAAGCTGAGCAGCGACTCCTATAGCAACTGAAATCAAGCCATCTTGCAAATCAACTGCTGGAGATTTTACACCTTTAGCTCTGACTGCTGACAAGAAGTTCAGGTGTTCCAAATAGCTAGAACCATGATGGAGACCATCATATCTGAATAATGAAATTTTTATTTAGACTTTAAACAATGCCCAAGTGCATGTCCACAATAAAAAATTAAAACCAATAGAAATTACACCTACTTTACTCGGTCATCTTCAGCTTTTACAGTTTGGACGCCATCTCTCCCCGCCTCTCTTGTACCATAACGCACAATACTCTCAGGAACAAAGGCCTCCCCCTGTCACAAACTCAAAAAGTGAATTAAATGATAATTAGAAAACATATCCTCCTGCATATTTACATCGTTAAATATTGTGAATTGAACAAAAAAAGAGTCTAGAAAAGGAGAGTAGGACTAGAAGAAAGGATTTTACCTTTCCAATGTCACCAACAACAGATATCTCTTGCTCATTCTTGCTCCCTTCAGCAAACATGCAAAGGTCAAGCATTCCTCGAGAACCATTTTCAAACTCAACAATAACATATGCATTGTCAATAATGTCTGGTACCTGGAACATAAAAAAAGGTTGTTAATGGAAAAATATAAGACTGGCATAACAGAGAAGCACAAGAAATAGAATGAAGTTATATCTGAAACCTGATTATCATTCTGTTTTAGAGCTAACCTTCCAGAATAAAAATTATGGAACAGAAGAAGTTTCTTAAGCAAACAACAGAACTAATAAAAAAACTGAGAGTAAATATAAAATTAAACACTTAGTTAGGGTTCAATTAATCAACAGACATTAGACTAAACTGTAAACAAATTGTTGAAGATAGAAGGCAGTATTCTGTTAGTAACTTTTCTTTGACAAAACTAATACAGTTCCTGTTTCCCGCTAGACTAGAATCTGTCCAGAAACACTGACTCATGGCTAAACTAGTATCCCAACTTCTTCAAGCTATACCGACTGTATGGTCTCTTAATCTAACTTCTATCAGTACCAAGTTACCTTTCCATCATATATCTCATCTTTGTGGTTGACATCTATAGCCCCAGAAGCCATTACACGTACAGGATTCGAATCTGTAAAGAGCCTCATTAGATCAAAGAAGTGGCAGCACTTCTCCACCAGAGTACCCCCTGAGTTAATATTGAAACGATTCCAATTGTTGACCTGGAACAAGCATGAGTCAATGAGACAAAAGGCTAACAAAGTAAAGAACATAAATTCGAGTAAAAGTTACCTTAACTAAGAAAGGAAACCTATGTTCTCTGATTGCCACCATCTTCACCTGTCCAATAGACCCACCCTTAACAATTTGTATCAGTTTAGCAACAGGTGGCATGTATCTGTATTCCAGTCCAACATGTACCAGTGTATCCGGCCTTTTCCTCGCAGCATCTACAACCTAATCTCATGATAAACTAAAATTGCTAGATAAAAAACTCAGGATGAGATAGTGAGAATATATGTGCAGTAAATAAAATCCCACTACCACATTGATAAAGCAAATTATCAGCATAACAAAAATTAATAATTCCTTCCTACTTTTTTATCCATTTTATATCGAATATGTCATTTCAAGTGGTACATTCAATGAAGTGTTTGCAGTTGCGTAAAAGTGATACAGAGTGAACATTGATTTTGTCAAATCATAATTTTTTTTTTTTTTTATGAGAATAATTAGATTTAAAGGATTGCTTCCATAAAAATTTGCAGACAAAAACCACTATAGTCTGTTGCAGCAAAAGAAAGGAAATCAGCATTCATAATCCACACTTCTTCAAATTGATATAAAGCAGAGTCCTTAATATCTACACAAAGCCCACATATCAAACAATAAGGTAGTAGAACAATTCTTAAAATGTATAACATACTATTGATACAGTCAAACACAATGCTGCCTGTTTAACAACATGAAAACATTACTGATATTACTTTACGACCCACCAACTCAAATGGACCCTAAAGCTATAGAGAGATAAAAATCAACACCACTCATATTCAACTCAAAATGAATGACAAGACACACCTCCTTATGCACCACATAACTTTTCCAAAGCATTTGCTATATTTCACCTTAAGACCTTGTTTCATTGTCCATAACTTTTTCACCACATTATATTATTTCCATAATTCCCAAAGCACAAATAAACATGATTATGAAAATGCAATACTCTAAAAACATAGAATTTAGTGTAAAAGAAAGAAAGCTTCTTCTAAGGTTCGTACATGAAAGGCGGCTCTATGCACCATACATGAAATTTTTTTTATTTCCATTTAGATGCTCAATTTTGACATAAAATTTTAAACTGAATGAAATCAATATATTTTCTTCTGAAAATTTGTATTGGGACACCTACGAAATTACAACTCCACACTATAATACATGCTATCAAACACAGTACTAATAGAGATAATGATATACCTTTTGGCAGTCCACAACTGTGGTGCACAACGGCTTCTCCACTAGTACATGATGGGGCTTTGGGTGGTTGATAATGTCCATTAGAATTTGGAAATGAGTCATGTTTGGAGTTGATACAACCACAACATCGCAAAGCCCACTGTCCAGCAGCTCTTGATGCCCTGAATAAACCTTTATAAAGCCAGACACAGTTTCAAAATCCATTATAGTAACAATCTAAATTTTGCTTTAATCATAAATTATTCACAAAACTTGCCTAAACTATACCATTGAGAATGTAACATTGTTTATGGGTTCATTCATCATTTCTCACGATAATGGTCGATTATTAATTAGAATAGTTGATTAAAAGAATTTACACAAACACTAATAACGTACCTTGATAGGCCAGTTAAACGAGTGTGCTAATTCTTGGGCGAGTTGTTGAGAGGGAAGATGAGGGTCAGCTATGCAAACAACAGCTACACCTTCGCTGCGAAGATGATGGAGATTGATGAGATGCTCTCTTCCCATCATTCCTACACCTACGATCCCGTACTTCACTGTATCTTTAGCCTCCATGATTTCTTTTCTTATCCTCAAGTCTCAAAGTCCACTGGATCACCCTCACGCCTGTCAAGTCTCAGGTCCACTAATAAAACAATTTCACTCTCAAATACTATTCGATCACCCTTTTGTAATTTATTTATTTCGCTCATGTCGGCTGTGACACTTTCCACCTTGTATTTTTCTGGCGTGGGTGGCTTCGGTAGTTTAGTTGGGTGGACTATCATACGGCGCTAGTGCCATTGGTCGTTGCGTGTAATTTGAAATAATAGACGGTTAGCATGGTCATATTTATTAATGTTAGGGAGTTAAAATTCCGTCCGAGCCTTTTTCTGATCCCAACGTTTTAGAAAATGACAGTTTAGTCCCAAGAGCTAAATTTATTTATTCAGAGTTGGAGAGGTAATTGATGAAGATGTGCTTCATGCCCGGGTTCCTTTTGTTGCTTGCAGACAGCAGTGTTTTGCTGGAATTGATGGTTTTCGAGATATTGCACGAAGATCATTTTGTGATGAGAGTGAAGGTTTTTCTGCAAGCTATGTAGTTCAACATTGGTCTCTATCATATGGTCGTCCTCAGAATCTAGTAGCTCTTGGGACTAAACTGTTATTTTCTGAAAAGTTGGGATCAGAAAAACGGCAAAGGTCAAAGGACGAAATTTTAACCCCCTAACATTCATAAACATTACCATGCCAACCGTCTATTATTTCAAATTACACGCAACTACCAATGGCACTAGCGCCATATGATAGTCCACTCAACTAGACAGCTACCAAAGCCACCCACGCCAGAAAAATACAAGGTGGAAAGTAATGTTGGAAAAGTAACCCGCCCGACCCGACACGGCCCGTAGCGGGTTATTGATTTTGGCGGGCCGGTCCTAACTCGCCCGCCAACAAAGGCAGGCCAGGTTAGGCCCGCCATTTTAGGCCCGCCATTTTTTGGGGATTGGTTGGCCCAGCCCGGCCCACCAACCCTAACCCACCGGGTTAGGCTGCGGGTCGGGCCGAGTTAGCCCCCTTTTTTGATTTTTTATTTTGTTTTGTTTTGTTTAGTTAACTTTTCAAATGAATAATTAACAATTTATAAATGAATAAATGTAATTGTTTTTAGTTAACTTTTCAAATATCAATAATTCAATTAAATTAATTTATTTTTATTTTTTTTGTTAACATTTCAAATATTAATACAATTTTAATACAATAAAATTGTAATATAAGAAAAATTAGATTTATTCATTTATCAAAAAATAAAATAAGAAATTACAACAATTATTGCCTCGTTAAAAACCTCACCAAGAAAAACCCAATAGACAAAACTTGTAAAGAAAAAGAATGCAATAATTGACAATTAATTTACAGTTACAATTCAAAACACTAATTTGGGGGTGATTGACTGATCTCCCGCATCCATATCATCTACATTACAAAATTGAAATGATTCTATTAAGTATCGTCGACAACCTCGTATTGACTTTGATAGCGCGACCGTTCCCAATCTCGAGACATGTGAGGACTTTAATCATTTTGGAGAAAGTTTAGCCTCCTTTCTTTAAAATTCTTCCACTTACACTAAATGTTTATTCGATGAGACGGTTGAGACGGGAACAGCGAAAACATCCAAGGCAAGTATTGATAATACCGGAAAAATACATTTTCTGGCTTTCCAATATTCTAAGACATCAAAGTTGACTCTCTGTTGTGGATCTGCTGGTAACATTTCAGGTTGCCAAATATTGTTGAAGCTCATTACTCTGTGACTGCATGGAAGACAGTATATTAGTTGTTGTTGTTGGTGGTGGTGCTTCTGAAGAGGAGGTTGTGCTTCGGATTTGGGTCCTCTTCGGCCTTTCAGTGCACTCCAGAGTAGAAGTCTTCATTTGTTTCTTCTGATGCAACTTCCCTGGATATTTCGTCTCTTTGCAGGTTCCTATACCTGTTTTTATATTGGAATATACTCTTGCAAGACAATTTTTTACCTCTCCTATTGATTGGCATATTTTTCGGTTTGTAAATTTTCACTTAAATTGTTTAAACCATTTTCTAAATCTGCTAATTTAATTCTAGGATCAAATATAGCACCTAAACAATAAAGAAATGAATGGGTTCCTAATATTTAAAAAAAAAAATTCAATTGCCTTTATTGGTTCCTTTAAAATTTCATTGTTTTTGTTTTTTGTAAATAACTCTGAAATTTTTATAATTGTATGTATACCAATGGAATAGTAGATAATACACACCAGAAAGCTGTAAGTGGATTAGTAAAAAATTTTAAGAAAAGAATGAAATATTTTAGCTATATGTCAATCATTTTCTACCAAATAATGAGGACCTCTATTATTTGCTACAAAATAACTAATTAAATTTGCATAAGGCAAACATGAATCAAGCATTAAATAAGTATTATTCCATCTAATAGGCATGTCTAATGGAAAGTTCTAGGAGACATATTTGATTTTATACAAACATCTTGAAATTCAGCATTTCTTTTATTACTACCAGTAATCCAATTAAACAATCCAAATTCTATCATATTTTCTTTAATTTTTCATACCACTTTTCACAATTAATTAATAATGTGACATGCACAACGTTGTTGAAAAAACTTCAAATTGTTAAAAAAGGATAATTACTTTGAAAAAATATATAGTTATAGTATTAGCACTTGCATTATCTAAAGTTAAACTTATTATTTTATTAACAATATCTAATCTTCTAAAACTTCAACATTATTATAAATTTGTTGACCACTATGACACATCATTAATCTAAATTCTAATAAGATTTATTTAATTTATATTCGTTATCAAAATAATGACTAGTCACACAAATATAATCTTGTTTATCCTCATTCTATATATCGGCAGTTAGAGTCACACTAACATGACAACATGTATTTATTTTTTAATTCTAGTTCATTTTTCTAAACAATTTTATTAAATCATTTCTAGTTGCAATTTTAGAATAACTTTAAATCTTGGAAAAATGATTTTTAATAATCTTTCAAAATATTTATCTTCAACCATATTAAATGTTGATCAGTTGCAGCAATATATAAAGCTAATTGTTCCCTATATACATCAAAATTATAACGTCAATAGTACTCATATTAGTTATTTGAGTTTATATTGGTTTCTCTTTTCCATGTTGGCAATATGTTTATTAGCATGCCTTTTAAAGTACTTTACCATTACCTGAATCAACTTTATAACATTTCCACAATACTTGCATCTTGCTTCTACACTTGAACTCCATTTTCTGCCTTGTAAAACTTATCGAAATGCGCCCAAATGTCTATGTGTGTCGTCGTCGCTTTCGACAGCAGTTGATGAACCCGCTTCACTTGAGATGAAGTTGTACGAGGACGACTTCTAGGACCACCAGGAGCTGTAGGTGTAGCAGCATGGGAGGAATCAGGGGCATATTTGAGATGTATCGATTCTGAGACTAGAAAAACGGGACTATTTGAATCTCCTCCTACATTCATGTTAGTAAATTCAGTGGGACTAGGACTAGTGTAACGCCCACATGGAGGTACGTAATTTAATTTATGTTTTTATGCCTTTAGTTGATTTTTGCTAAGTTATTTTAGGAAAATGTGAAGAAAACGCCTTAAACTTGCATTAAGGTAAAATGGTCTTTTCACTCAAAATTAGTTGAAATGTGGGGAGTGAAAAGAGATAGAATTTCATGAGAATGCATAAAAATTAGGGCATTATGGTAATTGACTAAGGACATAGATGAAATTTTAAAGAAAGTACAAGGCAAATAGGAAATTATATATAATTTTTGTTATATCAAATTGAGACGAAACCCTAGCCTCTTACCCATATGCCCGCCACTTTCACCTCCATATTCTCTCAAATTCTTCAATTCTTCTTAAAGGAAATTCAAAGGTTTTGGGTTTTTTGAGTGGATTTTCAATCTTAAGCTTCTATAGGTAAGATCTTTGCACTAAGAAGTGAATTTAGTTTTTAAAGTGTTGATTTTGATGGTTTATGCTCATAGATTTAAGAGGAAGAGAGTTTGATCAAAAGAGATTCTTCAAGGGTTGAATTTGCTCATATCAAAGGTAAGTAATCCTACCCTAAGTGTGATTTAAGTTATTGTTGTGTAGAGAATTTTCTTTGTGCATATATGTGTTATATGTGGAATTGTTGATGGATTTGGTGTTGAATAATATTAGAACCTATCCTGAGATTTGGGTTGGTGTATGTGAACTTGATGAATGTTTGGTTTGAGATTTGGAAGAGTTGAAGTGTGTATTTTGGGCAGATTTGGAGTTAATTATGAGGGATTTTATTCCAAATTTTTGGTGGCCTAAATAGAGATAAAGTGTAGCCAAATTATTGTTGATTTGTGCACATGATTATTTGATGAAATGCCAGGAGAAGTGCATGTATGAGTATGATTATGTGTTTACCTTGGGATTGTGTTTGTAGATGGTAGAGAATGACATGTTTGCATTCCATAATGCATAATTGCATTTAAATATGTAATTTAGAAAGAATTATAAGCCATGAAACCATCTACATGCATATATTTCATAAGAGCATGAAAAAGCCCTAAAATGTGTTAAAGAGAAAATAGAAATAAATGAATATTAAAGGTATTCAAATCTGAAATTTTACCTAAAGAAGTGTAAAAGATAAAAAGGAGAGAAAGTTTGTTGCGATGGGGAGCCCGTGAGTGACATATTCTCACATGCACGCCGCCTTTAGTGAGCGGCCTCAAAATTCAGAAAAAAAAAGAATTGTACAGTCTGTTAGAAGTGCATGTGGATGGACTGTACCAAGAATTAGAGAATTCACTCACACAGCCAGACTCCAAATCCATGCCTAACCAAGTCCGATCGCAAGAATAGAAAAAAGAAAGAAAGATAGAAAAGAAAGAAGAACGAAAAAAGAAAGGATAAGAAAGAAAGAAAGAAAGAAAGAAAAAGAAAACAAAATAAGAAAATAAAAAGAAAATGCATAATTTATGCATTTGTGCATTTGCATCATGAATATGCATATACCATGCTCATTATCATGAGTAGTGAAATTTAGAAAACAAGAGAAAAACAAAGAGCAAATAAGAAAGAATGAGAAAGAACAGAGAGAGAACAAGAGAGAACAGGGAAAGAATAAGAATAATCGGGAATGTGATGTAAGAAGAAAATTCGAATTTTAAGCAACAGAGAGAGAAGGTTAGCATAGCGGGTTTACTTACTGAGCAATTAGTGCTCACTTCGTTGTTTTTTAATGTTTTGCAAGTAATAGGTGAGTTGCAGTCGCACGGAACATCGCGCAGTGGACGGGTTGGGCTACACTGTCACGTTGCTATTTTGAGTATATTTTGTAAATATTTGTATATAAAGAAAAATTAAATACGGCCCATACTTTGTTACTTTGTATATATATGTATTTTCTTATATATATTGTTAATGAGTTTTTTAATTATTTTACGAGTATACTAGCTAGAAAGAAGCATTACACTAGGATAGTAGTTTCCTTCATCATTGAATTGATGGAGAGAAATATCTATCTATTTGTATTTGAAAAAAAAATTGATGCAGAAGAAATAAAAAATTAAAGAAGGAGAATTGGAATATGGAAAATTGGAAATATAATTGAAAATTGCAAAAAACTAATAAAATTAAATAGAGCAAATTGATAACAAAGAGATTAAGAGAATAACTGAGAGATTTCAATAGAGATTAAAGATTAGAGAAAATGAGAGAATGAGAGAATTTGAGTTGTAAGAAAATATGAGAGTTTATGGTCAATTTATAGAAGAAAAAAAAGGGGGAAAAGAAATGACGAAAAGACCTCTTTAATTGCTATAAAGACTTATTTCAAGGGTAAAGGGGAATTCGAAAAAAATAATTTTGTTTTTTTTTTTTTTTTTCGGCCAACTCGACAGGTTGGCGATCCTTTCTCCGAAAGGACAAAATAGCAACCGGTGGATCACCGTTTGCCATATATCAACCCAGCCCGCCCGGGGTTGCATGCTGTTTGGGTTCAACCGGCCCGTCTTATTGGCGTCCGGTTGAACCCTCTTTAATGTAGGCTGGGTTAGGGTTGACCGCCTAACCCCGGCCTTTTATTCCACCACTAGTGGAAAGTGTCACAGCGGACATGAACGAAATAATAAAATTACAAAGGTTGATCGAGTAGAATTTGAGAGTGAAATTGTTTTATTAGTGGCCTGAGACTTGACAGACGTGAGGTGATCCAGGACTTTGAGACTGAGGATAGAAAAGAAATCATGGAGGCTAAAGATACAATAGGAAGGATAGGAAGACAGTATCTCATCAATCTCCATCGTTTTCCGCAGCGAGGTGTAGCTGTTGTTTGCATAATTGACCCTCATTTCCCTCTCAACAACTCGCCCAAGAATTAGCATACTCATTTAACTAGCCTGTCACGGTATGGCATTAGTGTTTGTGTCAATGCTTTGGAATTTTAAATGGGATGGAACTTTAATATGTCATTAATAGCAGGGGTATTTTAAATACTTTTTTAAGAAGCAGATGGTTAATATCAAAAATGCTAGGGACACCGGATTTTTGTACCAAAATTTATACCGCCTATGTGTTCCTTGATTTATACCAGTAAACCAGACACGTTTCACTTTTATTTTTATTTTTTTTAGTGAACGCCGTTCATCAAATATGGACGGCTGTTCACTTTACATGGACCCCGCCCTATTATATGGACGGGGGTCCATTTACTACGGACGGACGTCCCTATTTAAAGGATACTCGTCCATGAATAAAAATTCTTATAAAAATTAGAGACGGTCGTTCATAGGTTATGGACGGCTATCCCTAATATTGGACGGCGTTCATATTTTATGGACGCCCGTCCATTAACAATTGTTTTTAAAACATAAAAAATTTAGAGACGACCGTTCATCAGTTATAGAAGGTCGTCCCTTTATTTTAGACGAGCGCCCGTAAATAAGGGACACCCGTCCTTAATCTAAATATGAAAATAAAAATAAAAACTTTGGGATGTTCGTTCACAAATTATGGACGGACGTTCCTTATATTTGGATGTGTGTCCATAAGGAATGGACGTCCATCCCTTATCGTGGTTTATACATTTGCCAGGGCTACCCAGTTGCTCCTATTTCTTATTAATTTTTGTTGGTCGTTGTTATTAGTGAAATTTAATTTGTAAGTCAATGCCAAACAGTACATTCTGCTTAATTTGACCTCTGAAAATAAGTTTTGAATTTTCATTTATTTTGAAACACTTTTATTCTGCCAGAGAACTCTGTATCTAGACACTGGCCGTCCAAAGTGTTTCTTTTTTTCTTTAAAAGGCAAAATAATGGACGAGCGATCGTCCAAAGTAAGGGACAACCGTCCATAATTTGTGGATAGGCATTCTCAGTTTTTTTTTTTGTTTTAAAACTAAAATAATAAGACGGTGTCCATTCCTTACGGACGTCCTTCCAAACGAAAGGGACGGCCGTCCACAATTTATGGACGCATCCCCAAATTTTTTTTTTTTTAATTTTCATATTTGGATTAAGGCAGGCGTCCCTTATTTACGGGCACCCTCCAAAATGAAGGGATAGCCGTCCATCCTATGAACGACCGTCTCTAATTTTATAAAAAAAATTTATTCTATTTTACTTAAATGGGGACAACCGTCCGTAGTAAATGGACCCCTGTCCATATAAATGGCGGGGGTCCATGTAAGTGAACGATCTTCCATATTTGATGGACGGCCGTTCACTAGAAAAATTTAATAACGAGTCTAGATTGTAGGTGTGATCAGCGGACACGTAGGCTGGTATACTTTTTCGGTGTAAAAATGCTGTGTGTCTATAGCTTTATTGTTTTAATATTAATCAATCTTTAAGGGTGTAAATAAAATAAACTCATTATAAATATCCCAAATTTTTTTTTATAAAAATACAATAATAGGAAAATCTTCCCCATACTCATATTTTTTTTTAGTGTAAGAAGAAAATTGTCTCTAATTTGTAATTTTTTAAGTGTATGTGAAAAATGGATGAATACCCAAATCTTAATTAGTTCACTAAATTTACTTAAAATTTGGTTTTCAACAACAAATCATAATCTTAGCTACTAATCAATATCCATTCTAATCTAACAAAAAATTCATTCAACAACAATCGTATTGAACCTACTGATCAACATCAAATCTTAAACCTAACCTAGGAATTTAAGTTTTCAACATAATGAAATGAAAGGTTTACTTGTTTAGGGGCTAATTGTCAATGATTGATATAACTTGATTAATATAGAGAGGATTTCACTGAATTATTTTTGCATTAGAAAGCCTTAAATGTCGTCATTTGAAAATATTCCCTCAAATTTTTCACAGTAAAAATTAGCTAAACTTTACAGTAGAGCGGGTTATTTACAGTTTATCCTTAAGATTTGACGTAAATTTATATACCTTCACTACCATGGGATACAAACAATTTATCCAGTCAAGTGAAATTTTTCAATAAAAAGTCTAGGACTCCTATTGTCTTATACACATGTTATTGGAAATGAATAAAATATTAAAAAAAAAAAAGTATATTTTACACCTAAAAAATAAATCAAATTTTCGTAAGAGTAGTAGTTGTTATCTAAATATACTATAATATGAACCAGTTTTAGCACATTACTTTTTTTATATTTTTTTTTTCTTCAGTTCTAACAACATGTAAATGAGACAACAGTGGCAATATAGTCTTTTTATTGAAAAGTCTCATTTGATTGGGCTAAACTATTTGTATCTAATAGTACTGGAGGTAAGTGATATATTCCAAACCTTAAGGATAAAGGGGAAATAACCCTAATAAAGGATATGCTAAGGAAGTAAATGATAATTTCTAACTATATATAAAGAGTTTTATTAATATTAGAATAAATATCAAGGAAGTTAAAAAATTACCCACTGTCTGTTTGACTTTTTGAAACTCCATTCTATTATCTTATTTAAAGTAAATAGTAAAAAACATATTTGTTTTAATATTAACGGAATTCAATTCAAAATCCAATCATATTCTATTCAACTTAAAATATTTAACAATTACTTTCATAATAAAATTTTATAAATTAACAAAAATACATCCACCCACCCAAGCCACTGTAGACCGCCAGCAACCACCATCGATCGTTGACGTCAGAATGACGCACAATCGATCGGATTTGGCCGATTGTGCATTGATCCCAACCAGATCTACGACCAGATCTATCTGGTCGTTGACGACGGCTAGATTTTGGCAATTAACGAAGGCCATAAATCTGGCCTTCAAAGACGATTAGATTTTGGCCATAAATCTGGTCGTTTTTCACCAAATACATGGTAAATTTGGCCGAAAAATGCTAGATCGATGCACGACTAGTCAGATCCAACCGATCGTGTACCATTTCAATGACTGTTAGCCACTGTCTGACAGTAGTGGCTGACTGCAAGCAATTGGTTAGGTGGATAAAAATATTTTTGTTAATTTATAAACTTTTATTATGGAGAATGTTTAGCTAAATTAACATATATATAGGAGGTTAAAATTAGTCTAAATATTTTTTAAAAATATTTTCAAAAAATGTACCAAAAACACATTCTCATTATCCTATGTTACTTGATATAATCTTATCTCATCATTTTCAGACACTTTCCTTTTATTTTTTTTATTTATTTATTTTTTTTTTTTTAAGCGTGGTTGAACAATAAACGACATGTCGTCCAAATGTAGGAATTATCTACTTCTTCCGCCTCTTCCGGTTCTGGTGTGGGAATGAGAGACAAAAACGGTGGTGCGTTGCCGCTCTCCCTTTGAACTTCAGCTAGTGATCTAGGTTTTAAAGCGGAAACGCGCGTCTGATTGCAGACACACAAAAGTGACAAAACGACAGCCTGTCTCTCCATTTTAAACAGTCCTTCGCAATTCATCGCACACACAATCTATCTATCACTCAAAAATTAGAGAAGCACTATAAGCAAAAACCCTAGCTAAAGAGCGTCTTTGCAACTAAAGCCACCAAACGAAAATGAAATTTCGGTTTCACAATAAAGTCCCTATTTTCCCTCACCATTTATGGCATTACGAGCAGCATCACTGCCGTCAATTTTCTCCTTCATTTGTGAAGAAGCTCTTTACAACGTCTCAAGCCCGTGCGTCTTCAAGTGGTGGCACAAACAATGGTCAAGGTCATTATTATACTTCTTTCATGTTAGCTGTTTGTTTGTTTGATGACTATGCTGGTCCTTTGTATGCTTGTGGTTGAATTTGACAAGAAACATTGTTGTGCAGGCAATATTTTCCTGGTACCTGGTGCCACGGTTGCTACTTTACTTATGCTTGGTGCTCTTCACGCTCGCAGGCTCTATGATGACAAGAAGGTATATATTAGTTTTGCATTTTCATAAATTGATGATGCTAGCAGTAAGTTGCATACTAATGCAAAGCATTTAGGAGTTTCATTGGTTGTTTCTTTTGTTTTATGTATTCAATTTCCTTGGTGATAGGTTGAAGAGGCACGAGAGAAAGGGGCTGACATTGAATTCAAACCTGACGTAAAAGTAATTTTTCTATCAACATCTACTATGTGTTTTAAGCTTCACATCCTGTGATTTCATTTCTAACTTTTACACAACATTGCCAACTTCAGGCTACATTTCTGAGAATGCTACCTCTTCGTTCAATTTCTAGGTTTTGGGGTTTCCTGACAAGTGTGGTAAGCTGTCTTCACAATGTATAAGCGAAAAAGCTTATAACTCTCTTAGCTATTTATTTACAAGTTATCTTTGGGTCTCTTGATTTCCTAAGCCATATCAGAATTTAAATATTTTATGATTCCAGTATGCCTCATTCATCTTGGATGCACCTGATGATCAAGTATGATTGTTTTATGAGTTTATTTGCTAACATGTTTTCAGGAATTTCCTGTCTGGATGCGTCCATATGTTTATAAAGCATGGGCTCGGGCATTCCATTCAAGTATGATTGTTTACTTCTTATTCTTTTTTCTATTTCTTTTTGTTGATTAATTGATATAGCTATCTCACAAGTGTTCATAGAGGTTTATTCTGTTGTTGAAAGTGGTAGGATACATGTTTGATCATTGTTTCTGTAAATGATATATAGATAAAGGTTTCTTGTTTGCGTTACAGACCTGGAAGAAGCAGCTCTGCCTCTGGATGAATATGCTTCTTTAAGAGAATTCTTTGTTCGTACCCTGAAACAAGGTTCCAGGCCTATTGACCAGGATCCTAATTGTCTGGTAACTAGTAACTAGCACCTTGGTCATCCAATACATATGTGCAGTTTGCTTATTGTTCTACACATTTTTTTATTATGTTTCATGCATTGCTAGGTTAGTCCTGTAGATGGTACTATTCTAAGATTTGGAGAGTTGAAAGGGGTTGGTGCTATGATTGAGCAAGTTAAAGGGTTTTCATATTCCGTTTCTTCTCTTCTTGGTGCTAGCACCTTTCTTCCCACGATAGCTGAAGGTGAAATGCATGAAGAGACTGGTGAACAAGAAAGCATTCTTACAGACAACACTAAGAAGTCATGGTGGAGAATTTCATTAGCTTCTCCCAAAGTCCAGGACAACATGTTAGCACGGTAATTTCAAATCATATTTCAATTTTGTTTTGATAACAATTATTAACTTCATGTGGATAAAGATTCTTGTTTTGGATGATTGAGCAATGAAAAATAATTGTCCAATTCCTTTGTAGCATGGTACTATAAGCAGTACATGATTGATTGCTACATGAGCTGAACATACATGCAGATTTCATTTGTTTTTAAAATCTTTAAATGCAGTCCAATGAAAGGCCTTTATTACTGTGTGATATACTTAAAGCCTGGAGACTACCATCGAATACACTCACCAGTTGATTGGAATGTTCTAGTTCGTCGGCATTTTTCAGGTAACTCTATTCCTTCATGTTTGTTACACCAAGTAGTCTTTGTTGATGGTTCTAATATATAGAAATTGGTACGAGATGGTGGGGTTATTATGGCAGCATATCTGTCTTCAGGAAGTCATTATCGATAATTATTTCTCATATTGAAGGAGGAAAGCCACAAAAAGAGAAAATTGTGTCTTGCAGAAGTATGTGTTTGGTTTGTGACCTTCTGAGTTATCAAAAGAACTTTACTTTTTTGATCTGGGATGCGAGAGTGTAATTATGTTCTCTAATGATATCTGTGCTTTATCTTTTGTGGCTGTTTTATCTGTCCTGTGTTACCTTCTTTTCCCTTAAAATAAGGAAATCTGTACACCCTTTGTTTGCAGATGTTTATAATTTTGTTGTCAAACTTTTTGTTCCCACCGGATATTCCTACAGTCAATTTTTTCCCTTCTAATATTTTATTTTAATTCATTATTTTGCAGGTCGCCTCTTTCCTTTGAACGAACGTGCAACAAGAACAATTAGAAATCTTTATGTGGAGAATGAAAGGGTAATTTTCTTTCTTCAACATATTCATTTTATTATATTTTCTTAAACCAGACATGAAGGTTTGGATCAACCGAGCAGCTTTCAATTCTACTTTATTGGTTTTTGTTTATCTTATTGTTATAGGATTTGTGCTTGTTTTAGCTGTTAAATTTTGAAAATTTCTGCTATGTTATCGTTGAAAGGGGAGATTAGGAAGAACTGAAATCATGTACAAAGTACAGATGAATAGAATTGATAAGATGGGAACAGTTGCATCTCATCTTCACTCTATATATCTTTCAGTCTTGGTTCTAGTTTTCTGCTCTCAGCTGCAGTGGATTGTTTTGTAGTTTAGTATCATTAAATTCCCAGATGCTGATTATCTTTTTATCTCTTGGATATTTTGATATGTTTCTAATTTTCTGTTTTCTTTTTTCTCAAATTGCAAATGAGTTCAGATTGCAAGTTGTGAAATCCCATCTTTCTTGCTAGATATGAATTTTCACCAATTAGATTCGTGATTTTCATGTGTCTAGGTTGTGCTTGAAGGTCTGTGGCAAGAAGGGTATATGGCAATTGCTGCAATTGGAGCAACTAATATTGGATCAATTGAGGTTAGGACCCCTTACCCTGAACCAATGAGCTACTTCTCACAGAAAAGGAATTTGAAAAAACAAAAGCATGCTTGGATCAGCTCACACACACACACACACACACACACACACACACACACGAATACTCTCATTTGAACTCTTTGCTCATACATGTGATATGAACAATTAACAATACTGAACCACTGCGGAATTATTCATCTCCAAAAGTCAGAACTTCTAGGCCCAAGGTCACTGTATGCCACCAAGACAGTACGTGCAAGAGAACAGTAGTGCAATTAGTGATTCTCCTATTTGAGCTTCTATCATTGACTTTTGGTTTAAATAACTATGGCAGCTTTTCATTGAACCAGAATTCAAGACAAACCGGCCAAGAAAGAAGTTATTACACTCAGAGCCTCCAGAACAACGGGTGTATGAACCTGAAGGTGTTGGAATGATGCTTAAGAAAGGAGATGAGGTTAGACATGCACATTGAATGTATCTTTTCAGAATTGTGTGCTTGATGATTTATTTTATTTCTGGAAGTGAAATCTGGTTTTTGGAACAATCTTGGACTGTCAGAGAAGTTTTTCAAAGCACCATTTTAATTTTATAATGGATTTCAACAAATGAGCACACATTAATTGATAGTCTATTTTGATTTTTTTTTTCTTTACTGGATTAAAATATAAATAAACTAATATTTAAAATTTTGTTCTAACTGTGAATCCTTTTTAGTTAATTTTAACTGTGAATTCCAAGATATAAATAAAGTACATCAATCTTTAGCAGAGTTTGATGTATTCTCTTATCATTTATTTTTCATATTGGGAAGAATTAGATACGGTGTATGTCTTCCCAATTAAAAGTTGTTTTTATTAAAATGGAGAAACTGATGTTCATAATTTTTTTGTCCTCCCTGCTTCAACCTATCCAGGTGGCTGCCTTCAACATGGGATCAACGGTCGTGCTTGTCTTCCAAGCCACGACTTTGAAATCACTTGAAAGTAATGATACTTTGTCAGAGTTCAGTTTTAGTATTAAACGTGGAGATAAGATTCGTGTTGGAGAAGCACTGGGGAGGTGGCAAGATTCTTGCAACTGATCATAGTGGTATACAATTGAATATGTGTGCTCTAAATATGATGCTGCTCTGATGGGCATGAGTTTTCTATTAGTAGTAAGGGCGGGAATGATGCTTGTGCCATAGAGCTCTTGGTTGGCTTGATGTTGAACAAAGGAAAAGCTTAACTTGGTAGTCTACCAAATTCTGTTTGGCTTGACTAGGCCTTTAATTGGGTCATAAACTGAGATTATGCCTGGGTTATTGGTTCTAGATATTTTTCAAGAATCTGATTGAGCAGAAATATTCGAATGATGTAATTGATAATAGATGATTTTCATTTTCTTTGATGGCTATTGGCTTCCTTTATAGCCACCCTCACATGATGAGGGTACTTTTGAGTCCTTTTTTATCTTTGCTTTTGTTACTGACGCTGCAAAACAGAGATATCTCTCCACTCCTGTCATTCGAAATCTGGTGATGCTTTTCTACCTAGAATCTGGTATTAGAGAAGGAAATGGCTTGTTGCATGAAATGCAACTTAGAAAGACTGCCAATTTTGAGGACGAGTAACTTGATACAACTGAAAAGTTGTATCACACAACGAATTTAGCTTAACTTTTCATCCATCAGACTACTGGACACTAGTTGCATGCAGGATAATTCGCACCTTAACTTTTGCAATAAACAATTCAATTGATTCCAGCTGTCTTATTGTCTTTGTACCAAAGTTTCGTGATCTTAAAATATTTTCTCCATTAATAGCAATGAGATGGTTCTAGAAGAATTCAAGGGTTCACATCTTCACAGCTTGTAGAAAAAACACTAAAAATTTTCAACCATGGATAAATATAAGATATAAATAAAGTGGAAAAATATATATATTAAAATAATAATAATAATAATAATAATAATAAAAAAATAGCAAATTACTTTTATTACAATTGAATGTGGGTGCATACAAGTCATACCACCCAATTTGATACAAGTTTATTACATATAGCCATGGATTTGTGATGGCTTCAAGTTCAATCGAAATAGAAACGGTTTACGTTTTCTCCTATTGTCCAATTCATTCATATTTTATATCTCTTCATAGCAGAATAATCAATCAAACTTTCTGCAGAAATTCATCAGTCATGCTAAATAACATCAATTCTCATTAATAGACAAATATTCTAATAAAGACATCTTTGAAGGCCTAAAAGTTGGCCAAGGAACAAACATTGACATTTTTAAATATGAACGAATAGCCATCACTGTAAAATAAAAGAGAGATAAGTGATTAGTGAGCAAATACTAACAGGCAAGGGGATCTAGGCATTAGTGAGTCATGTGAGTGAAAAAAGAATCCAAGTGTGTACAATAGTAAACTAGTAATTAAAGTATAACTGTTTGTGTGTATAACATGTATATTAGCGTTGTTAATGTACAAACATTGATACTAGTAGACAAGTAAAGTGTATTAATAAAAAAGTATTTTGTTCAACAAATATAGATCCAATGAAATAAGAAGATAAAATAAAATATAAAACTCCAACCCTCAAATACCCAACTCCAGTGCCTATAAATGATTTGCTACTAAAACTAATGTCATCATGGAAAATATTCAATGCATACGATGCCCAAATTCATTATAAAAATCAACCAGGATTTCCCTTGAATTTGTGAGTTATGTGTAATATGCACTATCTAGGACCCAGCAAACCCTTAAAGTATTCATCTCTACACCCTTCTATCCCTCGCATTGCCACCTTAAAGTATTATGTTCTCCACAACCATTTCAGATTAAGATTCAAACAGCAGGGCAACTTCTTATATTAACGAGAATGATGTTAGGATGTCCTACCATACAACAGCAGAATAACAATACAACATAATGAATATTTTTCTTGCCAGAGAACAAAATATGACTTTATTTTGACGGCAGGAGAATAACTCTGTTTATTTAAACATGTCCCTTATGAATCCATCTTTCATAGGCATTCAAATCAATATCAAGAACATGAATTGGGAATACAATATCCCATTAAATAACTTTAATCCCAGTAATCTTTAGAAAATTCCAGCATCTAATTCAGGTAACAAACACTACACTGCTTGGCTTGATCAGTTCCATGAAGAAAAATCCAACCAATACACAATTCCATAATATAACTAATCCCATCACACTTTTGCACACAGAATGACAAACCACAGACAGACTTGGAAGGAAAAATAAAATAAAGAGCCTCTAATAGCCTATAAGCGGAGGATTTTGTAAGGTAATTTTTACTTTTGACGATAATCACTCAGAAGTTCTCAGCAACAATTGAGGAAAACATTGAAAATTCAAACTCATGTATAAATAGCAAGAAAACCAACTCATGCATTGAAAGAGGTGGGACAAGAATAAAGAGAAGAAGCAAAATCATGAACTCTTTAAGAATGACCAAGAGTTATGGGACAACCCATTATATTGGGACAAAATTACAATAAAAAGAAAATGACAAGCCACAACATATATTCCAGAAAAGAAAGGCAAGTAAACAATAGACATCAATGAAGCAACATGAAAAAAGCCAATGAGAAGAATTGAATCAGACCAGAAGCGTTTCATTTCATTAACCAGTTTGAATCCCAACTAAACAATATAACAGAATGGTGTTTCAATACATGTACATTCATATTTGCAGATCCATCAAGGTCTCCTTTCTCACCATCTTCAGACTTCAAATTCATTGATCATTCTGTAAAAATCTGTCTTCGCAATTTCGCTACTCTACATCAAAACTTTGCCCTGTGACGCCAACCGAAAACCCCATGTTAGTTGGTTTCTATTTACAAAAGAATCATACAAAACATTCCAAATTACCAAAAGAAAAACAATCGAAATCTTTTAAATAATAACTTGGTCCCATCTCAGACAAATTCAGATTCAGACTTCTAGTTCATGGGCATTTCAGAAACTAACACACTTTCACATTACAACACAAAGTCTCAACTAACTTAAATAACTAAAATCCGTGACTTGGTCCTAATCAATCAGCTCATGTGATATTACTTAAGAGAAATTTAGCGATTTAACCGAGATCGAAAATGGGCAAACAAAGAACAAAATATAATACAAAAAAGGCACACCTACGTCTGCTTAGAGTATGAGGAAGTGGAGGGGACCCGCTTGTTACGGAACATCATATAACCGACGGGTAACACAACTCCGATCATCATGATCGCCGCTCCTATTAGATACCTCAACGGACTCGGAGGCTCCACCTCAGATATTCTCCGAAACTGCACCGCACAAGATTATAGCACGATTAGAACTTAAAATTACAGTGAGAGATCTGGATCCGTGAATTCATATGAATTAAAAGAGGAAAACTTACGGGCATTTTTCTTAATTATGTTAGCTGGGGAAGGTAGCGAGAGTAATATTCACTGTTATTCTACTCAACGAAGTAGAGGGTTTGCTCTGTGATTGACGAAGAGGGCTTCCTGGGTTTAGTTTGCCACCAACGGGATCTCGGCCGCTCTCTCTCTTGTTAAATTGATGCGGTAAGTTTAGGGAGGAAATTTAACTCGCGAGAACTCTCAAAGTTTACATTTAAAAAAATAACCTTCAAAATATTTTATAATTTTTTTAAGTTAGAAAAACTGACGTCATACACTTTGGATTCATTAAACATGTAAAACAGGTTAAACTAAAAAGATTTAAACATATGTGGTTAATATTATAATTAACAGAATTTTGTTTACATTTTGAAAAATTAAAAACGACATTTTCTCTTCAAAATCACTTAATTGAGTAATATACCCAAAAAACGACCGACGAAACACCTTCGATTTCTCTATGATTTCTGGCGATAAAAGATCCAATTTTTGACCAATATTCAATCATAAAAATTCATTACACAAAATCATGGCTGATATTCACAAGGAGAAGGAAAACCTAACCCCACTCCAAATCCTAGACTTCGGCGATGATGACTTTTCAAAGGTTGTCGAAGAAGACACTCCGGTGGATCATCCGATGAGTCAAGGTGGTCCAAAGGCAGAGGAGACAATAGCAACACAAGAACAGAAAGAAGAATCAGAAAATGGTTCTGAAGAGGAGGACGCTGACGAGAATTCAGGCAGGGAGGAGGACGCAGATGAAGGAAGGGTACGTTTTTTACTGGTGGTTTTGAATTTGATGGAAAATTTGATAGGTTTGTGCGAATTTAAGGAATATGTAGTTGGTTTTATTGTTACGGTGGTTGTGGCGTTTTGTCGAGCAGTTGGCAGAGATCGGGGGATTGGCTTTGTTTGGGTTCTAGAGGATGGGGGAAGGCAAGGGAGGTCATAGGGAGGTTGGAGGGTTGGGGATGGCAGGAGGTGACGGAATAGGGGTGTTGGCGGGCTGCCTTGCAATATGCAGGGCAACCCTCCAACCGCCCTATTCTGCCACCTTCTGCCATCCTCAGCCATCTCCGTGACTAGAACCTGCCACAACAGCCTCCATAGGGCCTGCATTGGTTTCCCCGATCCTCTCGAAGCCAAAAACACCCTCTCCCCGATGCCCTCGAAGCCCATATCCCCCAAATTGGTAGCCTATTGGTTGTTTTGATTTCTTTTTTTGCTGATATTTAGTTTATATAGATTGCGCAGATTTTTCGAAGCGTAAATTATAAAGACTATGGGTTAGAGGTTGTAAGCGATAAGGTACCGTACTTCCCTGTAAAGGTGATAGTTAGGTTGAGTTGACAAGTTTTTATGAGAATAATGGAGATTTTAAAGGAACAAAAGAAGGGTATGGACCGATTCAAAGAAAGTTGTTTCGGTCATTTTGCGAACATCGGAGAAAATTGGAAAAAGGCGTTTGGGGGTAGGGAGTGCATTATATGTTGCTGTACTCAGTTAAAAGCCAAAAAAAAAAAAATGAAATGTGGTTCATGGTGGATGGGAAGCCACTACGTTTTGGGATGATAGAATATGCCCTAATGACTGACTTAAGATGTGAGACATTTCCAGATGCGGAAGAGCAAGAGAGAATAACGAAAAGTAGGGCAGCCGATAACTTGGCTAAAAAGGTTTTTTTTTTTTTTTTGGAGGGGGGGGGGGGGGGGGGGGGGGGGGTCTTTTTTTTGGGGGGGGGGGGGGGGGGGGGGGGGGGGGGGGGGGGGATGCATCTATTATGGGATGCGATTTAGAGGAGAGGTTAGGAGAAGGTGGGTATACCTCTTCAGAAAGGTTCAAGATGTGTCTGGTTTGGTTCATGCATTCGATCCTAATGGCTTCTGACTCAACAAAAGCCATTAATATGAATTGAGTGAAGTTTGCAATCAACATGTACTTCTTTAATGCTTATCCATGGGGACAAGTATCATTTCAGCTAACCATGGACTCCCTGCATGGAAAAGACATGCCGATAAAGCATCGCCAATCTTTCGAGAAGAATAGACCGAGCATGTACAATTTGTTTGACTTCCCATGGGCAATGCAGGTAAATATTAATAGCTTTTTGTTATATTTTTTGTATTATATGTGTTTTAATTATGATATGGACTGTTTTTTTTTACAATATAGGCTTGAATGTATAAGGTCGTCCCTGTCCTGGCTAAGGCGGGGGGAGGAAGAAGACTTTGGATGAGTAATCGCAATTTCCTAGGATATTGTGGTGGCACATCGAGAAGTGTACCCATTGGGATTACGACAAAATAGACATGGATTTTCAAGTTGCTCAGGTAAGATTAAATGATTAATCTTTTGAATATGCACTTGCTTTTAAATGTGGCTTAAATTTGATTTTTTTTTTCTTATTGCAGGGAGTCGTCTTTCCCTTCCTCACCCCTACTAGGGGTGAAGCGAGAGAAGAGTATGTTACATCGTTCAGAGCATTAGACGATGTAGCAGATAAAGGGATAGACCGCCTAATGCAGGACCTAGAAGGGGTCACGCATGTGAGTGCAGTTGCAAGGCCACTACTTGAGAATGTTGTTGACGCTGAGGATGATGAAGCTCCAATCGGCGAGAGGGATGAGAATGAGGAGGATGAAGAGGTCTGTATGCCTCCACCCAATTGGCAAACCGGTACAATAAGTACCACTTTGTCGAGGCGTCAGGATCGGGAGAATAAGGTGGTTAACCTCATAAATGGTTTGTTTGAGAGTTTTACAACAACCGTTTATGAGAGGTTTGAGAAGATGGAAGAGCGGATGAAAATGGTGGAGGAGAAAGTTGATAAGGTGGCAAAGAAACTCGGTAGGGTGGAGGAGGAAGTTAGTGGGGTATTGAAAGTGGTTGAAGTGCAACCTGAGCATAAAAGAGAGAGTCGAAAGAATAAGCACATAAAATCTCCTTACATGGTAGTAAAGTATGGAAAGAAGAGGAAAACAAAGAAAAAAAATGAGGAAGTCCGTGAAAGTGAAAAATGGAGAAGGGTAAGGAGGAAGGCGGAGGAAGTGGGGAATTGAAAATGAAAGAGGGTGAGGCAAGACACGAAAGAAGTGAAGAAGTGAAAATGGAGGAGGAAGTGTGCAAGTGAAAACGGAGGAGTTAAATGTGATTTGTATAGGCCAATAGATGAGGAAAAGAAAAAACTCATTTATGCTTATTACAATGATTCAGGAAGTGATGGGTGTGTGAAGTGCATAACCGGGGATTATCCTTAGGAGTGGTTTGAAAAGATGTTGACAATGGACAAGTGGCTCGACAACTCAGTCGGTTATTTTTCCTTATTTTTGCTTATATTTTCCATGAGGTATTGTATACTTATCATGTTGTTTTTATTTGATGCAACACATCGATGAGGTATTGACACTTATGGGGCTACAATAAAGAAGTAATGGTGATATTTTGTATCCGCACTGTGCCATCACCGATGTGGCCTTTGGCCAAAGGCTAGTAACTACATATGACACTTTAATGAAAAAGACTAATGGTGGAGGTGCAACAAGGGGAGGCAAGCGAAAAAGATTGGGCACAGATGACCTTAATGGTGCCCTCGATGATTTTCAGTTTGATGAGAGGATGATGCAATATGTATGAGAGGAAAGGCCCAAATATGGCAACAATTGGATAAACGTTAAAAGAGTATACTGCATCATGAACATCAGGGATATGCATTGGATAATCGTTGTTTGGGTACTAGAGGAGGGCTTGTTGCAGATCCTTGATTGCAACCCCAGTATTTGTCGAGAGAGTAGCTAGAAACGGAGTTGCAACCGCTGTGTATATTGTTCCCGCAGCTATTGCGCGATAGCCAGATATTTCAGCACTTGGGTGATGAACTACTGACGGGAAAGTAGCCACTCAAGCGCCTTCTCATCCCGATTAATGACTTGAGATAAATTTTGTATAATACTTACATAATACAATTGTTCTATAAACTGGTTCTAATACTAATGTCTTCCTCCTATTGTAGTGCTCGGGGCATATGCACTAAAATTTTTTGAGTTCGACATGACTAACACCCCAATGGATAGGTTGATGACGAAACAATGAGCAACTTTTGGGAGCACTTGGCTGTTGAGTGCTACCATTGGCATATGGATCTTTTCTGACTAACCAGAACCTAATCCAAGTCATTGTTGATGTTGTCATCAAAAGGTATGGAAGTTGGACTTAGAGTTTTATAGTTTATGCAAAATGCATTTCTTATTGGGTTGTCTTGAATAATTGGATTGTCTTGAATTGGATTAGCTAGTGTTGTTAGGTGTCAAGTTGTTGATACTTGGGTTGTGGTGTTATGTATACTTTGTGGCCAAGGCCAAGGCTAGATAATGTTGGAAGGGGTGTTGTAAAAAAAGACGAAGAGGTTGCCGTTGTTGATGCTGAAGGTGTGCTGAATAATTGTGGAGGATGGGGGAAGTGGTTGAAGAGAATGATGAAGAGGGAGGATGGAGGCTGCTGGTGGTGCTTTTATTTTGGGTGTATATAGGACATTTATTTGTTGTATATAATGTTGTAATTTAATGTAATTGACATATTTCAGATTTGTACAAAAATAATTCAGTATTTCTTTCCCTCTTTTGAGTTTGAGTTTATTTAGTATTCTTGTTAAATGACATTAATGTGTTGATGCAATTAGGTTGTCAAATTCAGGAGAAAAGATGAAATTAATATGTGTTGGTGATTTTAGTTTGTCAAAATTCAGGAGAAAAGCTGGAAAAAATAAGTGTTGCCCATGATCGCTTAGGGGACTATATATATCGTTTAAGCAATCAAGGGTTTTCCATACAGGATCGCTTAAGCAAGATAATAAATCGCTTAAGCAATCGTGCATCTTGGATGATTTTGATTCTGCGTAGGACTTGTTCGCTTAAGCGACCAAGGCTAAAAGCCAAGAATCACTTAAGTGAGAACATAAATCGCTTAAGTGACCGTGCATCTGGTATGATCTTGAATTTGCCTTAGACTTGATTGTTTAAGCGATACTAAATTGCTTAAGCAACCAAGGCTAAAAGTGAAAAATCGCTTAATTGAGAACATAAATCGCTTAAGCAATTGTGTATCTGAGATGAATTTGATTCTGCCTTGGACTTGATCTCTTAAGTGATCCTAAATCACTTAAGCGACCAAGGCTAAAAGTGATGAATCGCACAAGCGATACA